TTGCTGGAAAAACCCTAAAAATAGCCCTTTACTTTTTCCCATACAAATGATTTGTAACTAAAACGTAGTCAATTTGAGCTTTATTGCTATGGTATAAAGTTCATATTAAATTACAAGCACTCACTGTTGTCTAAGCAATGTAGGTGTGTTCCTAACGTCAAAGATCATATCTATCAAAACAATGTGCGTGTGTGCGTTGGAGCACAGAATACATACACAGTATATATATGAGCTAAAGCAGTACGGAAGCTTAGCCCTTTCGGCGAGTTAAATACCTACACTTCAACTGAGTGTTAGGGTTGGCACTCTTAATCTTTATAAAATTAATAAGGTTCTACTTACTTATTTATTAAAACGTTTATTTAGGTTTTTTTATTATCAAATAACTAATGGAATAAATTAATTGACTAAGTACTTAACAAAAAAATAAAACGTTAATTAGGTTCTAATAATGATCGAATACATAATCGAATAAATTGATTAAGTAGGTACTATTAGAGGCCGGTAGAAGATCTATTCTCGTAATAAAATACCGGATACTTACTTTCACATACATACCTACCTATTGCCTCATTTTAAATACAGTTCATCACTTAGTACAAAAGCGTGCGGAGCAAATTACTTTATCAAATAGAACACATTGTTAAAAAGCGTAATTACGTAATTTAAAAAGAACTATTACAAAATCATAAATGTAAGCACTTTACTTAAAAAGTAATATTTAATCATTTTTACAATTCAGAATTATTACGAAGTTGAAAGTTCTGGTTTTGAAGATGCCGAGCTCAAGCAGCCGTATACTTACTACGTACGTAATACACATACACTCGTAGCATGTTTTTAAAAATACAGCGGACAGTGCATGCAATAAAATTATTATTAAAAACACAACGCGCGCGACACTCGCGACGGATGGACTGCGAGGTTCGCTTAGAGCTCGTGTAAAGCGTGCGTCTGTGTGCGTGAGTCTGATTTCGAGCGTTTGTATGAAGCTTCCGTACTGTTTGATTTATCTACTGTGATACATAGTTGGAGGAATTTAATGTCGCGTTCCGAAACTCGCGTTTCTTTTGTATTAGTTTCGGCACGCGAGATAAAATGCATCAGTTTCCACGTCATTACATCAGTCAAATAAAAATCGCGTTACCAACAGTGTTTTATTATTTTTAATATCCTAATTTTAAATAAATAAAACAATTCGTACGGCTTAAAAGGATTTGACTTCAAGTCATATCAAATTAAAAAAAAAAGTTACAAATACACTACAAATTAAAAACAAAAACCAGAAATAAATTATAAATGTTTGATTAGGCTGGAATACTTCACATTCATTATTATAATATTTAAATTTTGCGTCCTTCCGGAAGTACTTTAAGTCCTGGAGGAGGAGGANTCGGCATTTCATAGAACAGCGAGCGTTTGTAAACTGACGACGCCGTTTGTAAAATGCGGAATCATACAATTTGCCTGCGACATAGGCATGATTTTCGAATGGTCCAACCACAGCTATTTTTATTGTTCAATATAGACTTTCAGAACAATATTGTTGAACATCAAAAAGTAATTCGAGTAGATCGCTCGTCAAAATTCAAACACGCATTTTCACTTTATCCATTGTTCTGGATATCCTTTTGAAAGCAGATATTCGCAATCTGTCGCCAATATTCGTCGGTGTGGAACCGAGAGCTCGAATTAAGCGGTTGAGTGCCTCAAATAGCTCCCAGCCAAATCTCGCGCAGAACAGACAGTTTGGACGTGGCTGGAATCCTCATATCACCTGTTTGTGAAAAGCCACATACAACTACGTACTTGTAGTACAACGTCGTCTACAAATTGTTGGACGGGACGCATTGTTGGGTCTGTATTTATAAGTACCTATCTGTTTTCTTGTAATAATCATTGATTTAGAATTTTAGATCAATAGTTAGCTATTATAGAAGTTGCCTCTGGTAATATTTCAAGCTACCAAGTTGACTAACAAGTATTAATACCTTTTCTAAGAACCTATTTAATTATGGAAGTCAGTCTATTGCAATGTTCATTGAAGTTGAAAGTGGAGACTATTTCAATAGATTCATCAAATCGCTGTCTACTGAACATCAATCAGGCTGTAAAAACACACTAATTGACTGGATTGACATTTTTTTATTGTTTATCTACTTACATAAATTACTAACGTCTAATTTAAATTACTATGAGGTCTTACAGTGCGCGTGGACGCACAGGGTGACACACGAACCAATCACAGAGCTCTATTCAATGCTGTGCGTTCGAGCAAGCATCGTTTGTGAATAATAAGTTGATCTTTAAAAATCAACTAGGAATAGATGAAGATAATTCAATATCTTTAATGCGTCTTAATCAGCTGAGTTTACGGATTTCCACCTGCCTACAAGTCCTGAAGGAAAGGTATTTAAGAGCCATTTCACAAAAAAGTTCCGCGCGAATTTAGGTACAAACTGTCAACGCAACGTAAAAAGAGTAAAAAGAACGCCGAAATGGACAAAAAAATCTTGAGCCGTGACCGTATTAAGACTTGATATAAGTTATTAATATTAAGGTAGAATAAGGTATTAAAACTTGATAAATTAATTTACAATTTTAATACAGTTTATGTAATCTTTCAAAAATTTTTATATTTCGATTAATAATAATGAAACACGAATAGGTATAATATGTAAAATATATATTAAGTACAAAATAAAGATAGTCACATAGTGAAAAAAAAATGCTCTCTTACAGCTCTATCATCGGACCCTGGATATCATTTAGGGACGAAGGCGAATCACACAAGCCCAAACTCCGTTTGTTACGGAGTTGCAATGGAGGTGGCCATTGCAACTCCTCCAGATCCAATAACAGACAGAGCTAAGAAATAAATAATAATAATAATAATTAAACAAATAACTAAAATATTTCATCTAACTATCTTACTTCTTACTAGTCTTACTAATATTATAAATACGAAAGTTTGAATGGATGTCTGGATGTTTGTTACTCTTTCACGCAAAAACTACTGAACAGATTTTGATGAAACTTTACAGTACAGCACAGCAGTACTAGGCAGTCTGTGTTCAACTATCACTCGGGTCGGACGTTCCTATCGCAAAACCGTTGGTTCACTGANAAGAACGAAACCAAAAAAAAAAAAAAAAAAGAAAATGTCAGTCAGTAGTTTTTACATTTTTGTTTTTTGTAGATTTGTCTTTCTTTTCATTTGTTATTTTTACAAATTCGTTTGTTTGTTATGTGAGCAGCAGACATAGGTACATCATAAATAAGAGGGAAGATATTATTAAAGTACCTGTCTACTTACTTACCTACTATGTAAGTATTTATGAAGCTTTTGGAAGCGTATTAGAATTCTTTGAAAGTTTTTTACCCTCCCAGAAAAGTTTCAAGGCCACGCCGGACAGTTGCTAACTTGCTATCTAATTTTATCTCTTATCAGTACCAATAAATATATCTATTGCTAACGATACTAATAGTTCGCCGCTTTATTCTATACAGTTTTAAGCCCAGACAAAGTCTCAACCTGCTGGCAAGATTCAACTTTAGATCATGCAATCCGGCCGTCAAGCTTTGTTGTTATCATCTTCTAACTGCCATGGATATTCCATGTTAGAATTTGCGAAACAAGAGATATGTTCGTTTTTGGAAAGGTATGTTTATTACAAAACAAATTACTATCCTTATCACTCTAACTTAAGAAAATTAGTCCACAACAACCCAGTCAGTAGTTTAATATTTTGCTTTACCCAAGAAACCAACCTAATCTAGGTATTACATTGCTAATTAGCATTGCTAATATTAATATTAATGGGACTGTTAGTAATTTGTACAATACAAATTGCTAATAATCTTTTTAAAAAAAATATCCATCCTTATTTCTACAGCCTGAATAAAACTAGCATCCTACATTCATTAAATCCATACTTACATATTATTTTATTAAATTATTTCAATATTTTTCTACCTACAATAAATATTTCAGGAATGGAGTCAAGAAACTACTATTTGTACCATATGCTCAAAACGACTTTGATAAATACACAGATAAAATAAAAGAAGTTATTGATCCATGGGGCTTTGAGGTATCTGGCATTCATACATATGACAATCCCATCAATGCAGTTAACAGCAACAAAGCAATATTTGTAGGTGGAGGCAACACATTCTTATTGTTGAAAAGGTTATATGAAAACAACCTTGTTGATCTCATCAGAAATAAAGTAAATGAAGGCAAATTATTGTACATGGGAAGCAGTGCTGGAACAAATGTTGCTACAAAAAGTATTCATACAACCAATGATATGCCAATAACCTATCCTCCATCGTTTGATGCCATCAAGATAGTACCTTTCAACATTAACCCTCATTACTTGGATAAAGTTGAAAATGATACACACAAGGGTGAGACAAGAGACCAAAGAATAAGTGAATACTTGGAAATGCCTCATGCATCGCCAGTTCTAGGCTTGAAGGAAGGTTCTATGCTCAAAGTAAATGGTGACACCTTGGTTATAAAAGGAGTAGCAAGTGCAGTGCTCTTTGAAAAGTAAGTTTTATGTAATACACGCCAATAGAATTCGAAAATATTTAAACCAAAAAATATAATAATAGTTGATAATGGAAAAAAATATATCATGAAACTACTACAATATCATAGAGCGCGCGCGTGTATGGCCAATAACATTGGATTGGATAAAAGCATACAATTTTTTTCTCTATTACCTGAAAAGGTATCATTTTTAATATCTTTATCAGGTTGCTCCTATCAGAAAATTAAATTTTTTATTACTTTTTTAGGGGTGGCAAGAAGACAGATTTTCCTGCAGAATCAGATGTCTCATTTTTACTTAGTGGAAATGATGCATAACAAAATATTCAATTAAACAATATATAGAAGATGTAAAATAACATTTATTTTAAATAAAGGTTTGTTTATACATATCATTATGTACGGACATCTATTAAATCATAATTACCTAGCTAGACTATAATGGAACAAACATAGGGATATTAATAACTATGTAGCTATATTATTTCAAGACATTTGATAACTATGAGCATTTACTTATTAGCAACCAAACCAAAACTGAAAACCGGATTAAGTGACATTTGCTTTGGATATAGAACTAGAAAAAGATAATAGTCAATAACTAACATTATATTATAACTATTCACGATAACAATAGTAACTTACTGCTATGATAAATCACCACACACAATTCATTTCATCATTTCCGCTAGTGTTCTATTTTAAATTGCACTACACATCATTCTTTGATGCAAACATAATCCAGACATTTCATATCAACTCTCAGAACACTTCAGAGTTCAATCACAAATACGCATTGGTTCGTGAATTCACATCACAGTATACATGCTCACATCACACAAAATTTGAAATATTCAGCACAAGTGTTTATTGCACTGAAAGTGTACATTGTGAGTTGTCCAGATTACTGGATTTAAAGCTTTCGTCAGCCGGTGACAGGAGCCTGCATCAGTAAGGCTCGCGCAGCATGGAACAAGGCAGGCTGAGGCGCCACACGGGATTGACCTGTGCGTTCAGCGACTGGCAAGTGACACAAGTACCTCCGTAAAGCCAAGTCCCGCCTTGCACTCAAACCGCGCGTAATTTCACAGCCTGTTCCAAACAAGACAGCCCGTTGGCGTTTTCTTTTCTGAATCGCAACCTGGAACAAAATTGTTTGACTGTCAATTTAAATGCAAGCGTAAAAAAAATAGAGACTATAGAGGCGTGCTACGCAAAAACTAACCGGCCGACAAATAAAAACATAAGTACAATTACCTGAATTGCAGCTACTGGGTGTAACGAATCTATATCAATGGTTGAAGCTTCTGGCTCCTCTCTTCCTTCATCATGTTGGCCATTCTGTTCTACAGAGTCACTCTGTTCAGCATTATCTTGTTTTTCCACAGGCGGTTTTTTCTCAGCTTGCATTGTCTCTGCATTCTTTTTTAATATGTTTTGGACAGTTTCTTTGCCAGCCATATCTATGGAGAGTCCCAGCCGTGTAAGAACGCGTTCTGGTTTCCAGCGGTCACGCGCTCCTCCAGTGGGTGCAGTCTGTTCGCGACGACGCACGTCCGCCACCAAACTTGCCCAATCTACACCTAGAGCATCGCCTAATCCAGCTGAAAAAACAATATTTATTGTACATTCGAAATTCTAAACAAAAATATACATTCATTTTCTTTAAGCTGATAAAATTGGTAAAACATAATACCTCTGGTTCTTTCTTCCTCCAATTCTCCATCAGATATCTCCTCAAAGTCCAAATTAGCAACATCTTCCTCGTCTTTAGCTTCTTGAGATTCTTTTTCTTCGCCAGCGCCACTTGTGTCCTAAACATAATTATGTTTTATTTAAATTCGAAATAACAAAACTCGTATATACAAGATATTATTTGTTAATTAGATATCATACCTGAGTCGAGTCTTTTTCAGAGCCTTCCACCTTCGAGGTACCTTCATCTGGCAATGCAGTTTGACTGTCTTCATCCATAGTTTGGTCTGCCATCTAAAAAAAAATTGAATTGTTTATGTACTTATCTTAGTATATTCCCTTGTGCGCCTTACATCGATACAAGTGCGACTTACATCTTCTCTATTTAGAATGTCATCCGGGTCATCACTGATTTCACTGAGATCATCAGGGATCGGCTTGTCATCAACATCAGCTTCAGGCCTTGAAGTTACAGTCGCCGATTGAGCAGGGGGAGGGGTATTTTTGGAAGGTGGATCAGGATCGTTTCTAGGCATACGACGTTTGTTGCCGTCACCTCTTCCAACATCCATCCTCATACCTCGGCCGTAATCTTCTAAAACACATCGTTAAATTAAATTACTCAAGTAAAATGTAAAATTTTAATTGATATAAAAATGGATAAATACAAATACTGACCATGCATGCGGTTACGATGAGGACCTGGCGGGTGACCTCGATGATGCCAGCCTTCCATTTCTGCATCCTTATCACCCCACTCGCTCATCTGAATTTAAAGGTAAAATAATAAATAACTAAACACCACAATGTAAGCTTAATTATAAAACACTGAATAACTTATACACATACCAAAATGAGGATAAGGACAGCCAAGGAATAGGTGGGATAAAATGAAACAGGAATTGGTATATTTTCTTTTACGATAGTCAATTGGTTCATTCCGGTACAAATAGTAGTAGTAACTGACCTAGGACAGAATATTATCAAGTAATTATCTTTACAAGACTCATATATTAATGTTTGCGACATGATACTTTTATTCAAGATTTTTTTTTTCAGCTGAAATATAGATACCTGAGGTTCATGCATCGGCCAGTGTCGCTCGCGCCCCCAATCTGCAGATCTGTAGTCATCATTGTCCCAATCTTTATGAGGATGCATGTAACCCCGTTCACGGTCCATAGAGCCTGAGCGACCTTCCCATGAGTGGTCACGATGTGGACGCCTATCGTCGTAACCTTTAAAAAACGTGTTATTAGAATTAAGTTTTCAAATTAATTCAGATATAATGTAGGATAAACAAAATAATAAATGGTTTATGTAAACTACCGATATCTACACCACGATGGTCGCCAATATGATCTCCATACATTCGGTCGTCATCGTCTGGATAACCTCTAGCAGGCCCAGGCATGTCGTAGGCTGCATCATAGTGCCTATCTCTGCCTTGTATTCCATATCCTGGAGATCTGTCATCTTCCCTAGGACCACCTTCATAGCGGTCATCCACTCTGTCGTAGTGTTCCATGCTACGTTCATTATCATATTGACGATCTATACCCATTTCATAATCGCCTTGTTCCCTGTCAACACTTTCAATTCTATCTCTCTTTGATGAACGATCTCTGTCAATCCTATCCTGCTTACGACCTCCTCGTTCGGAATGAGCGTCTTGCCTGTCTTTAGAATTAGTTGAACTCTTATCTGGTTCGAGAACACGGTTAGAAATAGCGGCAAGTGCAGCAAGACGTTCTTCAGGTCGAGGAAGAAGCCTCTCCATGGGCTTATTCGGTTTTTCTAAACCCTTGTCAGCACCACCTCTGTTACCCAAGCCTCGATCACGACCGCGTCGCTTATCATCTCTTTTACTCTCCTTGTTACGGTCACGGCCTCTATCTTTTCTATCATGCCTATCTTTATCGTCATGTTTATCTTTTCTTCGTTCAAGCGAACGATCTTTATGGTCTCGACCCCGATCGCGATCTCTGCTTGCTGATCGCTTCCTATGACGCTCTGAACTCCCATCGCGTCTTACTTGTTTTTTTGGCGAAACAGGTCGACTACGTTCAGAGCTTTCTTTTTTTCGGAGATCTTTTGGGTGTGGACGCGGTGATCGAGATCGTCCTTTTCTTGGAGACCTACTACGGCCTCTGGCACGATCCCTATCTTTATCGCGTTCTTTTTCTCTGTCTTTATCTTTATTACTACGATCCCGCTCCTTATCTCTGTCTCTAGGCGAAACACTGCGATTTCTTTCTCTTCTTTGAGGCGATTTTCCGTGTTTCGCGGTATTTTTTGATAAACTCTTTGACGTTATTGGTGGTGTACCTCCAGATTTCTTACCTGGTGACAATGATTTCTTACCAAGGGCTGGCTTAGTAGCAGGCTTTTTCTTAGGTATTTCACTTTTCTTTAACCTGTCATCCTTTTTTGGAGTGCCTTTCTTTTCACTTTTATCTCTTTTTGGATCTGTTTTAATGAATTTCTTTTTAGATGGAACATCACCTTCTGAAGAAGAACTTGAATTCCTTTTTAATTTGCCTTTCTTACCTTTCCTTCTAGCCTCCCTGAAAATATAGAAAAATAGTAAAAAAAGGGTAATACCATAATTTTCATACAAAATCAGATTTGTATGAAAATTTAAATTAAAATGATATCAAATTTGACTTCACCATACCATTTATATGCATAATTATGTTAACATGGGCTAGTATCGGCTCATAAACCTATTTACCTAACACTGTATAAAAATAAAATAAATATAAAAGAAAAGAAGTTTGTAAAGAAAGTTCAAAAACTGCCTTCAAAAGTGGCAGAAACTGCAGTTCCCACAGCAGGAACCTTGCTCACAGGCTCCACTTATAGCCTGTATATCTCATAGTTTAATTTTTTTTGCCTGGAGCCTCGTTAATTTTTTGGTTTGTATGTATTGTATAACCCTTGAGGTCTCACTCAAGCCAGTAGCTTGTAAACTCTTAAACTTACAGGGCAGTGATATTTGGTTGATTTTTGTAACTTTCAATGAAAGTGGTATAAAGAAACTGACCTTTTACTTGTTGTTTTTAAAATGATTTCAGTTTTAGGTCCATATTGTAAAAATCACTAGAGCATGACAATTCAAACTAATCTCAAATCTATGATTGGTATCAATATTCAAATTAATCTAATCACTATGCTCTATTTTAAGTTTTGATAAATGTTGTTTTAAGGGGGAGCTAACATTGTCTCACACTTCAAGGAAGAGTTCCCCATCTCAGTCTCATAATCATTATTGAAATACAAGTAAAAAACTGTTTATATGAGCAAGTAGATCCTTGTAGATCCAAACCTACACTCAGTATTTTATTCACCATAAACATGCATGATCTAGGTTGAACCTTGAACATTCGCCTTAGCAAAATCAGTCATTCAAGTTTTTAATAGATAGGTACTTAATATCTTAGGAAGTGTCATCAACATGAAATGTTGGTCACCATGTATAACTTTCTCTATCATAAAATCAGAACAGAAATCTTTTGTCCTGTTTAATATCCTACACTCTGACCTTTACAATAAAGCTCTAAGTGTTGTTTTCAGTTTTAAGTTGTATCTTAGCTTTTTAATCAAGTAAGTACCTACCTAAGTAAAACTACAACAGACAGCAGATTATAGAAGCAATTTACTTCAGTCCATAATCGTACCTGCCAGATGAAGATGATGACGTGCTGCCATCTGATGACGAGGAGGATATGCTGGAGGAGCTAGAACTCCGTGACGATGAAGTACTTGAAACAACTTTCTTTTTGTCTTTACGCATGTCTTTACTACAATCCATTTTCATTTGCAATTCCAATTCTCGTTGCAACTGCTGTCTCCTTTTTTCGAGGACGTCAGTATCGGCGTATTCTAAGTCATTTTGGTCCCAGTTGTCAATTTCGCCGTCTGGACTACGGCCCGAACGCACTACCACGGTAGAATGCAGTCTATTCTTGCCATCGTCTTTCACCAAACGTTTTTGTTCACTGTCCTTATTGGCCGCACGCTGCTTTGATGGGCTAATCAATGTATGTGTGGCTGCAAATTTACAACTTTTACCGTAAGCGCAATTACCATGCTGAGCCCACTGTCTACAATGTTCAGTTGTTTTTTTCACACTCGCAGTTTTCTTAGTACCGAGACGCTCAAAAACGCTGGGTCTATTCGATAGGTCCTTGGTTTTCGGTAATTCCACGGTGATTTTTCTTTTTCCTTGTTTTGACATTATAGAGGAAAAACATTTGTCTCACAATTAAAACTGAAATCGATCACAAAAATACAATTTTGTCACCGGCACAAAGTCCGCCATTGTTAACCACAGATAACAAAGAACACAGGTCACAGACTTTAATAAAATTTTAAAATAGATGTCAAAGAGTATATAAAATCTTGTGAGTATATTTTCATTTTTAAGCCGTTGAGTGAATGTTTATAAAGATTGTGTAGCACAAATCACGCGCTGTTGAAGACCCATGGCATGTTTTTGTTGATTAAGTAGGGAAAACAAGCGACAGAAACCCGGTTAAAAATAAAAACTTATTCTCACTCACTTCATTGCATGCATGCAGCTATTACGTGTTCTGTGGCATGCAGTATAGAATTCAGCGACACGTCACACCCGCATATATGCAAGCCTTGATCGTTGTTGACTTTTTCTATATTAGTCCAAAGCAAAAAAAGTTAAATTTAAAACTAATTTTGTCTCTGGCTAGCTTGGCTGGCTTGCTGTCATAGTGACGGATTTGGTTGGAATTTTCGTTCTGATACGGAAAAATTAATTTCTCTAATTTTTATTTGCCCGCTTGGCCTTCATTTTGTATGAATTGATTGGCTGTAGTAAACTTTCCCCGTTTAATTTACCTTTAATAATTAAATCAAGATGCCTCAACTTGATGGCAAAGAAATTGGAATATTTTTTGTAAGTTTGAGGTTACTTTACTGTTGTTCTTTAAACTCTCTTTATTATTTTATCTTAGATGTTTTTTAAACCTTTCATTGTATATGTATAATATAAATAATTGATAAAGCACTCACGTAACATGAAGATTGTGAATTGCTAATTTTTTAAGTGATAATTAAATTCGGAGACTGGAAGATCTGCTTCTGCAGATTTGCAATTAAAATTGTATTCACTTTTTCATTTAAGTATTTGCTTTTTCCAGAGTGAAGAAGACTTACCATATGAAGAAGAAATTCTTCGCAACCCATTCTCAGTAAAACATTGGCTTCGTTACATAGAGCACAAGAAAGGAGCTCCTAAACATGAAATTAATATAATATATGAAAGGGCTTTGAAAGAATTACCAGGGTCGTTCAAACTATGGTATAATTATCTGAAATTGAGAAGGAGTCAAATTAGAGGCCGCTGTATTACAGATCCATGCTATGAAGATGTTAACAACTGTTTTGAGAGATCCTTAGTATTCATGCATAAAATGCCTAGAATTTGGATGGATTATTGCACTTTTCTGACTGATCAGTGTAAAATAACTACTACAAGGAAAGCCTTTGACAGTGCTTTGAGAGCATTGCCTATTACTCAACATCATCGCATATGGCCATTGTATTTAACTTTTCTGAAGAAGCATAACATACCAGAGACTGCAATTAGAGTCTTTAGAAGATATTTGAAATTGTGCCCTGAAGACACAGAGGAATATATTGATTATTTAATATCAATTAACAAACTAGATGAAGCTGCTTTAAAACTGGCTCATATTGTAAACAATGAAAATTTTCAATCCAAACATGGCAAATCAAATCATCAACTTTGGAATGAACTGTGTGAATTAATATCTAAAAATCCTGACAAAATTCACTCACTTAATGTGGATGCCATCATCAGAGGTGGTCTTAGACGTTACACAGACCAATTAGGTCATCTGTGGAACTCTCTAGCAGATTATTATGTTAGAAGTGGTCTATTTGAAAGGGCTAGAGACATTTATGAGGAAGCTATACAAACAGTCACCACAGTTAGAGATTTCACTCAAGTTTTTGATGCCTATGCTCAATTTGAAGAACTCAGTCTCAGCAAAAAGATGGAAGAAGTGGCAAAAAAACCTAGCCCCACTGAAGACGATGATGTTGATTTGGAATTAAGACTGGCTAGGTTTGAGTACCTCATGGAAAGAAGATTATTGCTTTTAAATTCTGTACTTCTCAGGCAAAATCCTCATAATGTAGCTGAATGGCACAAAAGAGTGAAGTTGTATGAAGGAAAACCCCATGAAATTATTGATACTTATACTGAAGCAGTTCAAACAGTAGATCCTAAATTGGCTGTTGGAAAACTGTATACATTGTGGGTTGGCTTTGCAAAATTTTATGAAAAAAATGACCAGATAGAAGATGCCAGACTTATCTTTGAAAAAGCAACACAAGTTAACTATGCTAAAGTTGATGACTTAGCATCAGTTTGGTGCGAGTGGGCTGAAATGGAAATAAGACATGAGAACTATGAAGAAGCCCTGAAGTTAATGCAAAAAGCAACTGTTTTACCTAGCAGGAAAGTAGCCTACCATGATGATACTGAAACAGTTCAAATGCGTTTATACAAATCATTAAAAGTTTGGTCCATGTATGCAGACCTAGAAGAAAGTTTTGGGACTTACAAGTCTTGTAAAGCAGTTTATGATCATATTATTGATTTGAAAATAGCCACTCCTCAGATAATCATAAATTATGGTCTATTCTTAGAGGAACATAACTATTTTGAAGAAGCTTTTAGAGCATATGAGAAAGGAATTGCACTTTTTAAGTGGCCTAATGTGTATGATATATGGAATACCTATTTAACCAAATTTTTGAAGCGGTATGGTGGATCCAAACTTGAGCGTGCCAGAGATCTCTTTGAGCAATGTTTGGAACATTGTCCACCAGAGTTTGCAAAGTCCATTTATTTGCTGTATGCTAAACTAGAGGAAGAACATGGCTTAGCAAGACATGCAATGTCAGTGTATGAAAGAGCAACAACAGCTGTGTTGCCAGAACAGATGTTTGAAATGTTTAACATTTACATCAAAAAAGCTGCTGAAATTTATGGAGTGCCAAAAACTCGCCAAATTTACGAGAAAGCTATTGAAACTTTACCAGAAGATAAGGCGAGAGAAATGTGCGTGCGCTTTTCTGAAATGGAGACTCGTTTGGGAGAAATTGACCGAGCTCGTGCTATCTACGCGCATTGCAGTCAAATGTGTGATCCTAGAATCACTGCTGATTTTTGGAACACTTGGAAGGAATTTGAAGTCAGACATGGCAATGAAGACACAATGAGAGAAATGTTACGAATAAAACGAAGTGTACAAGCTACATATAACACTCAAGTCAACATGATGTCAGCCCAGATGTTGAGCTCAGCAGCTCAAGCAGCTGGAACTGTATCGGATCTCGCCCCGGGCATGAAGGACGGCATGCGCATGCTGGAAGCCAAGGCTGCAGAAATGGCTGTCCAAAGCAAGGGCAACATTATGTTCGTCCGAGGAGAAACCCAAGGTCTTAAAGAAAGTACAGAAAAAGTGGTCAATCCAGATGAAATTGACATTGATGAAGATTCTGAAAATAGTGATGAAGATGAAGAGATGGCACCGGTGCAAAAGAAAGAAATACCAGCTGCTGTTTTTGGTGGACTTGTATCTGAAAATAATAAGGATAGCAATGATGTCAATTGATACAAATAAATCAGTTTATTGACAAAAGCTTAAATTTTACACTTTCCTATACACAAGCCTCTTCTTTATTTACAACATAAATCACAGAACACAGTTTTTAATTTAATTTGAATCATAGCTGATTTGTTTTCGATAATAATATTGTGTTCCAACAAACTTTTTGCATAATTAGATTATGGTAAAAGTAATAATATAGTAATTATATTAGTGTAAGTAAAGATGTTTTGAATGAACATCTAATTAAATTGAATATAGTGCTTAGGGATACATACTAGTTAGGTTTCTAATTTGAGCTTGAGAAAAATAAAGAGAGTATTCTTTGCAGATACATGATGTCAAATAGCTTAAAATATGTAGCTGTTATTATGTCAATATTATTAAAGAAAAGAAAATAAAGCTCAGTATATGATAGTTGGTTAAATTATATCTCTAGGAGGTGTAATAAAATGTAGAGAGTTAGAATACAAATTTTGATGTTCTGAATAATTCAAAACACTAATATCATTATGAACACCGCCAAACATTATCAATTCACCATTTCCTTTCACCAATGAATACATAACTAATTCCTCTGGAGCTCCACTCATTTCGCCTAAACGAGGGCATAGCCATGAAACATAATTGAGTGAATTTCCATCTAGAATTGTTGAAATATCTAAAACATGCATAGTCAAAGTATTTCTTTTAATTTTCTTCACTGCTGGTGGCCTATGTTGGTTTGGTGGTGGTGAATCTTGTTCTCTCCTATTTTCTAAGTGAGCAATTTGTCTTTGATTTATGAGATCATTTTCAGGGGGTGACTCATTAACAGCTGGATCACATGCAAATGCAGCCATCCTATATTTATTTGCTTCTTGCAATTGCCTTACAATCTTCATCCCTTTGTTCTGAAAAATTTGAATTTAGTAAGTTAATGTACATCATTCAAATAACCTCTGCATACAACACACATAAACTGCATAAACATGAGGGGAATAGTTAAACAAAATAATTTATTTAATTTATCACCTTTGTTTTATTTCGTCGTAAGGTTGAATCCTTCTTTCCAAGATCTAGTCCACTTCCAGATTGTTTAGATTCAGAACTGGGTCCAGCTCCTGCATTACTATTTTCAGAATCACTGTTTTCTTTTGATGTTGAGGGATTTTGGATTTCATTTTCACGACTAGGACCTGCTATAGGTTCATTATTAGGAGGATTTGGAGAGACCTGTTGTCTTGCTGTATTAACAGAAGCTTGTCTGGGCAGCACACCACGTCTCCCATTTATATTCTGATCTCTATCTAAGGGTCTCTGTAAGCTTTGTTCCACTCTGACTGATACTGGTGCTCCCTCAGGTCTACTCAGTGCAGATAATCGTACAGCAGAAGTGACCAAAGGCTTTGCTGTATTCCATCCGTTCCTACTCCTACTCAGACTTACAACCTTGTCACCAACCCTGCATGCTGGGTTGCACCAGATGTTGGCAGAGGCCCACTCCTTATTTTTCACTGCAAGTTCTTTCCAGGTCCAAGTTGGACCCTTCATGGTCAACATCCAACAATCACTATAAACAAATCTGTTGTGTAAAGTTTGTACTCCACCTAGTAATAACAATCTCTCTGAATCTATGCGGATAAGTGATTGGGCATATCTTGGAGATGGCCGTGGTTTAGTTGTAGCTTGTTTTCTCCATGTAGCAGTAGGAATATCAAGCACCCATATATCATTTGAACATTGTATTTGAAAATTTTGAACAGGCGACATGACCAGACCCCCAAAGACAACCATTTCATCACCTTTTATACAAGCAGAATGTCCTGCCATTGGGGGTGGGGGGTTATGGGCATTGAATAATATCCATTTATTTGTGTTGACACAGTAAAAATGCATTTCATTGAACATTGTAACATTTTGGTAATATTGTGACAATGAAGGATATGTCCAACCCCCAAATACTATTAAATAATCTTTATAGTGAACCATTGAAGTGTAAGCTTTAGGAACAGGATAAGTTCCAGTAGCCAATGGTCTTATCCATTGCCTTTTTGATAGGTCGAATCGCCATAAATCATTGAATGAGGTTGCATTTGTGGTACAACCACCAAATATGTACATGTTATTCTCCAACACACAAGCTGCATGTGAAAATCTTTTTGTGATTGTTGGTACCATGTCAGTTGGAGCAATATTTTTCCATAAGATATTGAATTCTCCTACTGCTTTAACAAGTTTCAGGGATGTTTTGCGCAATACATCTGAAAAAATACATAATGGTAAAATTTTTGTAAGCTAAGCTACTTATTTATCTAACTTTAAAATGGGAACTTACTTTGACCGCAATTGTACCATCGTCTACATACTGTCATACAATTCTGCAAATCTTTGTATGGTGGTAAAAATCCAAGTATGAATTCTAGAACCTCATCGGGTAGATCTTCAACTGAACTCTGCAGTGTTTGCTCTCGCAGGGATTCATGAATTACTTCCATGTTGTCGTAGATACTACTTTATAGATTTATTAGGAAGGAATCATAATTATTGTAAAACATGAACCGACGTCGGTATCATCAGGAATTATCCGGAATTCCTAAATATTACAACAAATAGTAATATTATTTTGCAGCAAGCAAGCATTTACTTCATTTATTTTGACATTTTTGACAATTTAAAATGACTGACAGTAACTTTTTTTTCTAGTTTCGTGCTGTTGTGAATTCCGAATTTTATTAAAGCTGCAGTCAGTCTCTCTTTCTGAGCTCTCTTTTTTATTGTCTTTCATGACTATTGTTATAGATTTCGTAACAATCTATATCATATTGTTTGCGTAACGAACGAGAATTGAGTGAGGCCCATAACAAACACAATCTCCATTGCACAGCAAGGAATTTCGATTGAGAGATTCATTATGCCCTCTCCTTATCAACTATCTTCACGCAAAAGCATTTAAAGTTTTTACATAATTATGTATTTCATGTATTCCTAAACGAAACCAGTATGTCAAATGTCAATATTGTCAATGTCAGTCAGCCGCTGTCAGCCAAGTGAGTGGCTGCGGGAATTTTAAGTTGAATAATTTCTTCTGAGTGTTGGTTAGTTTTGTTGAACGGTCTGCGGATAGTGGGAATTAATTAATTAAGCAAACAAACTTTTGACTCATAAAAACTGTGGAAATAAAAGTCAAGTGATATAGTGTTGACACATAACCTAAGTGTTCTGATTACATCAATACATAGTCCATGTCAGTATTGTAAATAAATTCTAAAACAGTATACATACGAATTACAAGATGCAGCTGCTGATACAAGCTAGCCCTTTAGTGAATAAATTAAAGCATTGGCATCAAGCAATAGGTTTCAGTGAAATACAGCTAACAACTTCTCAAAAGGTTTGTTTATCTTTATTTGTTTAATTCAAATCAACATTTTGTCATCAATACTACTATTATTTGTTTCCATAGGTGGTTCTATGGAGCATTGGTGTGGTTGGGACAAGTGCTATGGTAGTGGGAGTTCTGTCCAGATATTTAGCAAGACGGCGAGCAAAGCCTATTTTAAACCCCAGGATTCAACGAGCTATTAATAAAAGAATATCTCGAATGAGGAGTCCCAATGGAGGTAATATATAAAACATAAGTTGAGTGCTCAAGTTTATTATTATCCCCTGCTAATTTTATACTATTATGTGCATATTTTAATTACAAACTTTACTTAACTACAAACATTTGTTGTGTAGGATGTAGAGCCTCTCTGAATAGTTAGTAAATCATATTTTATTGATCCATAATAATACAAAAATCTTATTCCATTATTTATTTTACTTTGCAGGCATGGGATCCATAGCTAGCAGTGGTGGCAGGAGCAGTCCTTTAGGATTCAGTGAGAGATTATCACTAGCATCGGGATCTATTGGATCTGGTGGGGGTGATGCTGCCCCTTTATCCCCTCAACAACTAGGTGTCATGGGTGAGTGATAATGAGATTTTTTTAGCTATGTCAAATTATGTATTTCGAAATACTTATTCATTTCTCGTTTCGGTGTAACAGCGCCATCTATTGTCGAGTAGTTTAATTATTACTTAATATTTCTGTGATAAAAATCTCTGCAAAGTACCTATTATTCATTGTGATTGTAAATTTTAAAATGTCCGCCGTTATACCCATTTATTCAATATTTCTAAATTCAGGTTCTTAGACCTTTTCCGGATTAATTTTTACCCAAATATTTCTTAAAGGTGGGTTGTATCAAAATTTTTGCAGCGCCATCTCTTGTTGAGTAGCTATATTACGTTCTTTATAAAAGCATGAATGAGTATTTGGACAAATTATACAAAAAGGTTACATTTTTATTACAAAGATGGCGTGACAATAGAAAACAAAAACGCGAATCGTTGAATAACACATTTAGGAAGGTAGGTACTAACTAGGATTTGGAATGGTGTCAGAGATTCCATCTTACATACCTTCTTCCGAAAGGGAGTAGGAATACCTTACGAAATTTCAATATTTTGGACTTTTACAAATCAAGCTTATAAAAGTCGCTCAATTTGCGTGACTGACGATTTGAATTCATGAAAATTTATCATAGGTGTTCTTTTATTTTATGACTAGCTGACCCGGCGAACTTCGTACCGCCTTAGCGTAGAGATTTTCTTAATATTTTTTTCCGTAAGAACCATCCTTGGACTTCCACAAACATTTAAAAAAAAGAATTATCGAAATCGGTTCAGCCGTTCACACGTGATGCCGTGACAACGCGAAACTGGTTTCATTTTTATATATATAGATGAAAGATTACTTATTTTATTGGGTAATGTCCCAATTGCGTGCAATGGTTACGTCAACTGACAGCTGGATTACACTAGGATATTGCAATCTTCCGTTGGACTTATGGCACAAAGTGACTACTAGAAGTGCTTATCATTCATCACTGTAGCCATTTCTTAGTTAATTTCTTCTATAATATAAAAATTAATTGCAAAATGTGTTGGTAAGAGCATAACTCAACAACGCCTGGATCAATTTTACCAATTCTTTGTTTTTAATGTTCGTTGAAGTTCAAGGATGGTTCATTTTACGGCGAGAAAAAATCGAATACTANTTTCTAAATTTTGAGCTTTTCTGGATTAATTTTTACCCAAATATTTTTTAGAGGTGGGTTGTATCAAAATTTTTGCAGCGCCATCTCTTGTTGAGTAGCTATATTACGTTCTTTATAAAAGCATGAATGAGTATTTGAACAAATTATACAAAAAAGGTTACATTTTTATTACAAAGATGGCGTGACGATAGAAAACTAAACGCGAATCGTTGATTGATACATTAGTAGGTTACTAGCTTTTGCCCGCGGCTTCACCCGCGTGAAAAGTTTGTCACATATCGTCATAAATTATAGCCTACAATATGATATTCTGGGTTATAAACAATAATACTGTAAAATTTCAACAAAATCCGTTCAGTAGTTTTTACGTGAAAGAGTAACAAACATCTAGACATCCAAACTTTCGCATTTATTATAAAATTAGTAGGATAACTAGCAACTAGGATTTGGAATGGTGTCAGAGATTCATCTTACATACCTACCTACCTTCCTACTTACAAAGTTACAATATTTTGGACTTTTACAAATCAAGCTTATAAAAGTCGCGCAAGTACGTGACTGACGATTTCAATTCATGAAAATTTATCATAGGTGTTCTTTTATTTTATGATGAAAGATTACTTATTTTATTGGGTAATGTCCCAATTTCGTGGAATGGTTAGGTTACGTCAACTGACAGCTGGATTACACTAGGATATTGCACTCTTCCGTTGGACTACGGCACAAAGTGACTACTAGAACTTAGAAGTGCTAATATCATTTATCACTGCAGCCATTTCATAGTTAATTAATCTTCTATAATATAAAAATTAATCGGAAAATGTTTTGGTAAGCGCATAACTCAACAACGCCTGGATCAATTTTGCCAATTCTTTTTTTTTTTAATGTTCGTTGAAGTTCAAGGATGGTTCCTTTTACGGCGAGAAAAAATCGAATAATTTCCGGGAAAACCCTAAAAACAGCCCTTGTTTGAGGCAGGCGAAGCCGCGGGCGGATTGAAAGCTAGCTAGTTCTAAATTAATGTAATACATAAATGTAGCTAAGCTACTATTAATAGTTTTTTACACCTAGGTAAAAATTATCTTTTAAAAATGTTTAAAAGATATTTTTTACATAAGAAGTTACTTTATTTTGGTTGTTTTGATACTGCTGCAATCTGCATCTGCATCAGCCTGCAAGTTTGAAAAAATGCCAAGATGTTGAGCTGGAAATTCTCAATTTCGCGTGAAAATGTATGAACATTTTTACATTGCCTTTTCTTTTGACGCTGACTGTACCTACCTTTGCTTTTTTTAGCAATGTTATAGAATCTACCTACACTAGTTAAGTACATAGTTAAATTTATTGCACCCAGCGCACAAGGCGAAAGATGTTCAACTTTATTCAAAGTCACCTTGAATATAAACTACTACAATACATTTTGATGAGCCAATCTACATTGAACTTTTATTGGTCGTCATTTTCAATGATTCTATACGGAAAATTTTGAAAACACAACCTTTAAAAAATACATAAATATTGAGCATAAAAGCCTGCAGCAAATAATTACACGGTTATTGTGAAGTCTGTAAATCTACAGGTGTGAAAGTAATAGGGCAAATAACATTGAAATCAATGCCATCAAATCCTTCGTCCTCAATACAGGCACGATTTCTGACGTCAGGGTGCGTCAGGTGAGCTAGCTTTCATGTTGCAAAGTTGCTTAAGCTTAAGCAAGTAGATATTAAAATGTAGAATTGTGCGTACTCTAGGTATAATAATTTATTAATATGATAAAATTAAAAAATACTTGTCTATATTCGGTCGATGTAGTGAATAATCAACCAGTAACTTATTTATTTATTTATTATCAGAAAATGTATGTTTACAGACAGGTCCAAAACACATATGATCATCCTGTCATCGCTTTCGTTTACATAGGTTAGGTTTAATTATTTTCGGAAAGGATGAAGCTCCTGACTCCTGAGTTCTTATATTACGGGACTATTATTCCCACCTCTCATTCCCACCGCTGCTACTCATGTGAGTCCAGTGTAGCCAGCTAGTTGATTTCTTGTTGTTAGGCAATGTCAGGAGATGATAGAGATTGCTGTGTTGTCTTTCGCATGACCTGCGTAGCTGCGTTGACAGCTGATAAACTGATGATACCAACCTTCACCGATTGTCTAACATGTGTTTGAATTTGTATCTAAGAAAGAAAACATTTCTAACTATAAAACATTTATTCCGCGTAGTACAAACAACTTGCTCTCAACTTGTGTCGTCTTTGCACTTGTACAGTCGATAGCACATCAGACTATGCATTTATGTTGCAAAACAGCCTGTCTTACAACGAGATAAGACGCTACTGTGTTTAGCTTGATGTGATCGTCAAAATATGACGAGTGCCTTTCACCATGGAAACTGGTTGTTATCGTGATTCGTGACACACTCGCGCGCTGCTTCTTCGGGGCTATCGTGATTGCTAAATTCGCCCACCACAAACACGGCTCGTTGGTCTAGGGGTATGATTCTCGCTTTGGGTGCGAGAGGTCCCGGGTTCAAATCCCGGACGAGCCCGTGTTTTTTGCCACTGTTTTTGTTCGTAAGCTAAAGTCTGTTATTTGAAAGCGTTTAGGAATTAATTAATTTGATTTACTCATTAAAAAATTGCAAGATCGAACTAAAATATTTATCCTAAAAAATAACTGCTATGTAAATAAAAACTTAAAATTTAAATGGGATAATGTTTTATGAAAGCTGGACTGGAAGCTCTGCAACGGTGCTTACATACCTATGTATTATTTTATCAGCCGATCAGTGTTATAACGTAATAATTACGAATGATTTCTTTAATCAACTTCAATTCAGCACATATTCCGGATTCTTTACCTACATTATCGTCTATCTCTTATTACGTAATAACTGCAATACTGCATATTTCATGACTTGGCTATCGCATGCGAGGACAGTTATGCAGGCGTCCTATGGGAGGCGGTTTAATATTGCACAACGGTTTTACAGTGGTTAGTAGAGTAGGTATGCTAATGGGGTCCCAGGGGACGATGTTAGCGTTCCAGGCACGTCCCGGCCTACTGACACTGATCTAATCGACGAAACTCAGGGATAGATCGAGATTCGAGAAAGACTGAGAAATGATGTTTATTTATAATACTGCACACACGCTCTTACTTTATGCTACAAAGTATCATTGCGGGTGGTGTTCACTTAGACCTAATTAAAAATGCGACTTCAATCTCTGTTAATTAATTAAAAAACTTTATTTGTGAAATCTTAACATCTAATTCAACCTAGTTTATTAATTTTAGAACTATCGCAAATTACACACATGTATTGAAATATTTACTAGGTAAAATTAATAAAAGCATGATTATGATAGTATCTAAATGAATACCTTTTTATTTATTTATTTATTAAGGTATACCAACAACATTACATACAAAGTAGGGGAGAGTTCGGTATATTGTACCGCCGGGTAAATTGTACCACCCTCATATTTCGTAAAGTTTTTATTGAATGTCTGTAATTGCAACACTCAGTGATACACAACTAAAATCAATTAATATCGGCCATGTGGTTTTTGCCGTGACAACAAACACGTGTGTTTTATTTTGAAAAGTATTTTTTCATTGTTTTCAAGTAACTTTTGACAATACATGTTTGGATTGTAATTTTGTTAAATTTAATCACAGGGTGTTTCTAATATATTATTTAGAAGCGTAAATTAGTGTGGATTACAATTATTTGAAACATTTTTCGGTATTTATAAGCTATATTTTTTACCGATTTTTTAAAAGCACTATCGCCTAGTCGGCTAAATTGTACCACATCAAGTAGTATGGAACTTTACAAACGGATTTTGAAA